GTGGTATGTTTCGAGCATGCTTGAGGTATGCTCCGACCGTGCTCGTGGTATGTTTCGATCGTGCTCGAGGTATGTTTATACCGTGCTCGAGGTATGTTTCGAACGTGCTCGAGGTATGCGTTGACCGTGTGACCGTGCTCGTGGTATGATTCGACCGTGCTCGACCGTGCTCAAGGTATGTTTCGACCGTGCTCGAGGTATGTGTTCGACGTAAGTTTCGATCGTGCTCGAGGTGTGTTTTGACCGTGCTCGAGGCAGTTTCGACCGTGCTCTAGGTATGTTTCGACCGTGGTCGTGGTATGATTCGACCGTGCTCGAGGTACGTTTCGACCGTACTCGAGGTATGTTTCGACCCTGCTCGAGGTATGCTTCGACCCTGCTCGTGGTACGTTTCGAACGTGCTCGAGGTATGTTTATACCGTGCTCGAGGTATGTTTCGAACGTGCTCGACGGTGCTCAAGGTATGTTTCGACCGTGCTCGAGGTATGATTCGACCGTGTTCAACTGTGCTCGTGGTATGCTTCGACCATGCTCAACCGTGCTCGAGGTATGTTTTGACCGTGCTCGAGGTATGATTCGAACGTGCTCGACTGTGCTCGTAGTATGTTTCGACCGTGCTCGACCGTGCTCGGGGTATGTTTCGACTGAGCTCTAAATATGTTTCAACAGTGCTCGAGGTATGCTTTGACCGTGCTCGTGGTATGAATCGACCGTGCTCGACCGTGCTCGAGGTATGTTTTGACCGTGCCCGAGGTATGTTTCGACTGTGGTCGAGGTATGTTTCGACCGTGCTCGTGGTATGTTTCGAACATGCTCGAGGTATGCTCCGACCGTGCTCGTGGTATGTTTCGACCGTGCTCGACCTTGCTCGAGGTATGTTCCGACCGTGCTGGAGGTAAGTTTCGATCGTGCTCGAGTTATGTTTTGACCGTGATCGAGGTATGTTTTGACCGTTCTCAAGGTATGTTTTGACCGTGCTCGAGGTATGTTTTGACCGTTCTCGAGGTATCTTTCGACGGTGCTCGACCGTGCTCATGGTATATTTCGACCGTGCTCGACCGCGCTCGAGGTATGTTTTGACCGTGCTCGAGGTATGTTTCGACTGTGCTCGAGGTATGTTTCGACGTGTTCGTGGTATGTTTCGAGCATGCTTGATGTATGCTCCGACCGTGCTCGTGGTATGATTCGACGGTGCTCTTGGTATGATTCGACCGTGCTCGAGGTACGTTTCGACCGTACTCGAGTCATGTTTCGACCCTGCTCGAGGTATGCTTCGACCGCGCTCGTGGTACGTTTCGACCGTGCTCGACCGTGCTCAAGGTATGTTTCGACCGTGCTCGAGGTATGATTCGACCGTGCTCGACTGTGCTCGTGGTATGTTTCGACCATGCTCAACCGTGCTCGAGGTATGTTTTGACCGTGCTCGAGGTATGATTCGAACGTGGCTCGACTGTGCTCGTGGTATGTTTCGACCGTGCTCGACCGTGCTCGAGGTCTGCTTCGACTGTGCTCGAGGTATGTTTCAACAGTGCTCGTGGTTTGTTTCGACGGTGCACGACCGTGCTCGAGGTATGCTTTGACCGTGCTCGTGGTATGAATCGACCGTGCTCGACCGTGCTCGAGGTATGTTTTGACCGTGCTCGAGGTATGTTTCGACTATGCTCGAGGTATGTTTCGACCTTGCTCGTGGTATGTTCGAACATGCTCGAGGCATGTTCCGACCGTGCTCGAGGTAAGTTTCGATTGTGCTCGAGTTATGTTTTGACCGTGATCGAGGTATGTTTTGACCGTTCTCAAGGTATGTTTTGACCGTGCTCGAGGTATGTTTCGACCGTTCTCGAGGTATGTTTCGATGGTGCTCGACCGTGCTCGTGGTATGTTTCGACCGTGCTCGACCGCGCTCGAGGTATGTTTTGACCCCGCTCGAGGTATGTTTCGACTGTGCTCGAGGTATGTTTCGACGTGCTCGTGGTATGTTTCGAGCATGCTTGAGGTATGCTCCGACCGTGCTCGTGGTATGTTTCGATCGTGCTCGAGGTGTGTTTTGACCGTGCTCGAGGCAGTTTCGACCGTGCTCTAGGTATGCTTTGACCGTGGTCGTGGTATGGTTCGACCGTGCTCGAGGTACGTTTCGACCGTACTCGAGGTATGTTTCGACCCTGCTCGAGGTATGCTTCGACCGCGCTCGTGGTACGTTTCGAACGTGCTCGAGGTATGTTTATACCGTGCTCGAGGTATGTTTCGAACGTGCTCGAGGTATGCCTTGACCGTGTGACCGTGCTCGTGGTATGATTCCACCGTGCTCGACCGTGCTCAAGGTATGTTTCGACCGTGCTCGAGGTATGATTCGACAGTGCTCGACTGTGCTCGTGGTATGTTTCGACCATGCTCAACCGTGCTCGATGTATGTTTTGACCGTGCTCGAGGTATGATTCGCACGTGCTCGACTGTGCTCGTGGTATGTTTCGACCGTGCTCGACCGTGCTCGAGGTATGTTTCAACTGTGCTCGAGGTATGTTTCAACAGTGCTCGTGGTATGTTTCGACCGTGCACGACGGTGCTCGAGGTATGCTTTGACCGTGCTCGTGGTATGAATCGACCGTGCTCGACTCGTGGTATGTTTCGAACATGCTCTTGGTATGCTCTGACCGTGCTCGTGGTATGTTTCGACCGTGCTCGACCGTGCTCGAGGTGTGTTCCGACCGTGCTCAAGGTAAGTTTCGATCGTGCTCGAGTTTTGTTTTGACCGTGATCGAGGTATGTTTTGACCGTTCTCAAAGTATGTTTTGGCCGTGCTCGAGGTATGTTTTGACCGTTCTCGAGGTATGTTTCGACGGTGCTCGACCGTGCTCGACCGTGCTCGTGGTATATTTCGACCGTGCTAGACCGCGCTCGAGGTATGTTTTGACCGTGCTCGAGGTATGTTTCGACTATGCTCGAGGTATGTTTTGACGTGCTCGTGGTATGTTTCGAGCATGCTTGAGGTATGCTCCGACCGTGCTCGCGGTATGTTTCGATCGTTCTCGAGGTATGTTTCGACCGTGCTCGAGATATATTTCGACGGTACTCGACGTAAGTTTCGATCGTGCTCGAGATGTGTTTTGACCGTGCTCGAGGCAGTTTCGACCTTGCTCTAGGTATGCTTTGACCGTGGTCGTGGTATGATTCGACCGTGCTCGTGGTATGATTCGACCGTGCTCGAGGTATGTGTTGACTGTACTCGAGGTATGTTTCGACCCTGCTCGAGGTATGCTTCGACCGTGCTCGTGGTATGTTTCGACCGTGCTCGAGGTATGTTTCGACCGTGCTCGAGTTATATTTTGACGGTGCTCGACGTAAGTTTCGATCGTTTTAGAGGTGTGTTTTGACCGTGCTCGGGGCAATTTCGACCGTGCTCTAGGTATGTTTTGACCGTGCTCCAGGTATCTTTCGACCGTGCTCGAGGTATGATTCGAGCAAGCTCGACCGTGCTCGAACGTGCTCGTGGTATGTTTCGACCGTGCTCGAGGTATATTTCGACTGTGTTCAAGGTATGTTTCGACCGTGCTCGTGGTATGTTTCGACCGTGCACGACCGTGCTCGAGGTATGTTTCGAGCATGCTCGAGGTACGCTTTAGCCGTGTGACCGGGCTCGTGGTATGATTCGACCGTGCTCGTGGTATGATTCGACCGTGCTCGAGGTATTTGTTGACCGTACTCGAGGTATGTTTCGACCGTGCTCGAGGTATGCTTCGACCGTGCTTGAGGTATGCTCCGACCGTGCTCGTGGTATGTTTCGATCGTGCTCGAGGTATATTTCGACCGTGCTCGAGATTTATTTCGACGGTGCTCGACGTAAGTTTCGATCGTATCCGAGGTGTGTTTTGACCGTGCTCGAGGCAGTTTCGACCGTGCTCTAGGTATGCTTTGACCTTGCTCCAGGTATGTTTCGACCGTGCTCGAGGTATGATTCAACCAAGCTCGACCGTGCTCGAACGTGCTCGTGGTATGTTTCGACCGTGCTCGAGGTATATTTCGACTGTGTTCAAGGTATGTTTCGACCGTGCTCGTGGTATGTTTCGACCGTGCACGACCGTGCTCGATGTATGCTTTGACCGTGCTCGAGGTAAGTTTTGACCGTGCTCGAGGTATGTTTCGACCGTGCTCGAGGTAAGTTTCGATCGTGCTCGAGGTATGTTTCGACCGTAATCGTGGTATGCTTTGACCGTGCTCGACCGTGCTCGAGGTATGTTTCGCCGTGCACGACCGTGCTCGAGCTATGCTTTGACCGTGCTCGAGGTAAGTTTTGACCGTGCTCAAGGTATGTTTTGACTGTGCTCGAGGTAACTTTCGACCGTGCTCGAGGTATGTTTTGACCGTGCTCGAGGTATGTTTCAACCGTGCTCGAGGTATTTGTCGACGTTGCACGGTTGTGCTCGTGGTATGTTTCGACGTTGCTCGACCGTGCTCGAGGTAAGTTTCGATCGTGCTCGAGGTATGTTTTGACCGTGCTCGAGGTATGTTTCGACCGTGCTCGAGGTATGTTTCGACCGTATTCGTGGTATGCTTTGACCGTGCTCGACCGTGCTCGAGGTATGTTTCGACCGTGCTCGACCGTGCTTGTGGTATGTTTCGACCGTGCTCGAGGTTTGTTTCGACCGTGCTCGAGGTTTGTTTCGACCGTGCTCGAGGTAAGTTTCGATCGTGCTCGAGGTATGTTTCGACCGTACTCGTGGTATGCTTTGACCGTGCGCGACCGTGCTCGACCGTGCTCGAGGTATGTTTCGACCGTGCTCGAGGTATGTTTCGACCGTACTCGTAGTATGCTTTGACCGTGCTCGACCGTGCTCGACCGTGCTCGACCGTGCTCGAGGTATGTTTCGACCGTGCTCGAGGTATTTTTCGACCGTGCTCGACCCAACCCCTTGTCTCGACTATCCTTTTTCGGTCGAGCACTGACATGCGCTCGACTTTGAAAGTCGAAACTTAAAGTGAGCACCTCGACCCGGGTAACTAACTACCTCTCCGTGTTTGTCAGTGTACTGGAATCCCTGCACCAATCGGAGTGCCTCGTCCACACTTCGCCCCACAGGTGTATCATTCACGCTCATATGACGAACGATGCCCTTCTCGTTGATGATGAACAGACCTCGGAACGCGACGCCCTCCTCTTTGATCAACACGCCATACCTGTTTAAAAAAGGACAAAAAGGATAAGGTTTCTCTCCAACCAAAGGCCTACTTTAATATCTAGTTTTCAATCAGATGTCCAATGTTCTGTGGATTTGTGAGTTTCTGGAAAGTCAATTTGCTACAAAAGCACTCGAGATGATAATGTCTAGAGTTACCGTTCTTTCTTCTTTGGGAGCAAGTTCCCACTTGACATAAACAATTAATTTTTGATGGTTTTCCTAAGTTGGCAGAAAAATGAAGATGCCACAACCCCTCTGACATTTTTAATAACTTCAAGTGTTTTTAAAAAAAGTGAGCGTTTTTGATATTAAAAATCTGAGATCGAATATGCAGTCTCATTTTAAAGTACACTGAAGAACAGCGATCTACGCTTAGATTTGCTACAATTTGCCTAGAGTAGATTGAGTTTAGACAAAATTTGCTCAGAGCCGTCATTTTTGACATAAATTGTTCGAAAGGACAAGTTAATTTTTGACCAACATCAAACTGATACGAACTCGTTTTGATGTTGAATTATTGAGTTTTTTTTAAAAGAAACGCACAAAAAAAATTGGCACAAATTTGAGCAACTTTTGACAAAATGCATTTAATTCTTTTTAGGAGTAGCTAAAAACATAAACAACAAACAGTTTCAATGAACTCAAGGAGACCAAGAAAAACTGTTTCTTTCGAAAAATTGTAATTTTTGAGTTGAAAAAATATCAGTATCAAAATAAAGAATACTTTACTGGGTGAAATTTTTTTGATTAGATGTAAATGGATCAAATCGTCAACTTTTTGTATAGCTGACTTATTTTTACGAAAGACTGCTAGTATATCAGGGCAAAGCCGTAAATGTTCCGATTGTCCTTTAATCGTGCATTTAAAAATTGCTTCAAAAACAATGATAAAATTTTGACAGAATAAAATGAAAAAAAAAAAGATCGTTTTTGTTTCGTTTTTGTTTTTTTATCCCTAAACTTTATCTAAAATGAAAAAAAGGTGTAATTAGCGCCTTTTTAAAAAATTCAACCAAATTGTTGGGCTCAGTTAAATTTGGTATGATTTAATTTGTCGCTTCTGTGTATTAAAAGAACGCAAAATATCCCTCGTTAATTATTCCAAACTGGCCAAATTAGCGTTGTTGAAACCACTGCCATAACCTTACAAAAACTGTTTACAGAAGGTAACACTTTCTTTTGGGTTAACTAAAATTTGTATTCAATTTGGTAGTATTTTTTTGAAAAAGATTGTTGTCTAGATTATCGTACAAAAAATGATCTTACCAAACATTTCTTCAAATTTGAGCTGTGACAACAATTTTTTTGGCAAAACAATTGCTATCAGTTTGACTACAGTTTTCTGTTTGCTAAAAAATGTTTTTTTTTCACCAGTGATCACTTTTTGTATAAAAATGGCAGTGGCGGTGGTTCCAAAATCACTAGATTGACTAATTTGGAATAGTTAATGTTGCAGCGTTAGTTATAATGCTTTGTTATTGCTCTGTAACTTTCAATTCGTTCTACAAAAATCATGTGGACGTTAACCAAGAGTTCACTTTTCTGTGTATTGTAAAAACATTTTTCCCTTTTAGAAATTTTTTTCCAAAGATATGATACCGCCTGTGCAGAGTAAATTATCTATGCTTCGAGCAGTGATGCCTTCTTTAAATAAATTTTGATTAAATTGCAGATTCAATTATAATGTTGCTACTTAACTGCCCCACAGCATGAACATGTTGTCACTTTCCATAAAAATTGTAATAATTGCAACAAATTTAAAAATAGAGAACTCTCGGTAGGACAAAAAAATTAGTCAGCTTCCAAAATTAAGAGTGATACCGCAAACAAAACAATTTGACAGCATATTTTACCAAAACTCCACTTGACCTCTGAAACGTCTTTGTTTTTTTCATAGACACTTAAACAATTAAAAAAAGATAAAACCTCCCCCAAATTTTTCTGAATTTAAAACTTATTGGATGAAACGTTAAGATTCATTCGATAAACTTTTTTCGCCTGTTAAACAATTTGTTTTTGTTAAATCACCTTTTTTTATTTTTATAAAACAGGATCAAAAATAAATTTGACCTGGACTCAAAAAGTTACTCTTCATCAAAAAGCAACATTCAAAATAGTACGATTTTCTATTTGATAAGTTAAACTAATTTTTGTATTTTTGCTACATAACTTATCTGCCTTTTAACATCTATTATAAGTTATGTCTGACTTTGAATGACAGTTTTCTCTCTTCATGTTTCAATTATGTAAAATATTCGTATTAGTATAATGCAAATTAACACTTGTTATAGCCGCGCGTGATTTACACACCGCTATAGTTGCCTAACACAAGTCTACTGAAATTGTTCACTCTATAATTTGATGTTTAAAGTGTTGTGCGAATCATTTATGCGTTGCGATCTATACCGCACAACAAATCGTTCCACCTTGAATTGAGGCAATTTTATTGGTTTTATTAGTTACATCGTACACGCTAGTTACATGGTTCAAAATTTAACATTTAAGATAGGCCAAAACTCACAGTTTGTCAGTATTTGATTTATTAAAAAGTACTTGAGACCAGTTAAAGGGCAGCTGAAACTTTCAGGGTTTCACCTTGATACGAGCAGTCTTGCTCGTTTTATTTAGCTGCAGTTAATTTAAGCTAATTGCCAAAAACTGGAAAAAAATTTTTATATTTTTTAATTAGAATTCTACATGAGGCATTGGTTCCAAATTTTGCAATCCTACTTTTCCAGTCTACAGTTCTTACAATTTTACTTACAATATATCTAAACTAACTGAGTATTTATCTTCCGTTACAGTGCTAGAAAGTCGAAACCACATTTCTGTCCGTACAATTAGAAGCTGTCCACAAAAAAACTACAAACCAAAAAATATTTGTAAAAAGTTAAACAAGTTGGGCGAAAAGTTTTTAAAAACATGAGAAAACATTTTTGGATACTTTGTCGTGTTTGGTAAAAAAAATTGATTTTTTTTCAAAAGAAGATTATAGCTTGATTCCAGAAAAATTTCAAGCCAAGCCATGTTTTCAGAATGAAAACTGAAGTTTTTTCTGGAACGCTTTAAAGTTAAAAAAAATCTTATTTGAGCAGCAAAAGGTAATTTCTTGCATGCTGAATATTTTTCAAAATCTTTAGTTTTATGAGTTTTAGTCTCAAAAATTCTATCGCCAAGCGGTTGAAAACAATGATTTGGCAAAGAAAAAATTACGAAACTGTTTGTTCAATGGCGTAATCCAGATTTTTGGAAGGGCATCCAACGTCAAATTTTCGAAAGAATGAGAAGTTATGAAATTTAGGAATGATCTGAACTGTAAGTTGAAATGTGAACTAATAACTGAAAAGTATTCCGTCTGGTTTTGTGTCAAAAAGAACAATTTTTGACTTTCAACTAAGCACCATCTATTTTGTTTCATCTACAAAAAATTAATTGGGGCTCAATTACAAAAATAACATTTGCCTCTGCCAATTTTTTACCAAACAATATGGGTTTGCAAATTAAAATTTTGGCCGATTTTAGATAATTAACGCGCAATCTAACGCGTCATTATAATATGCGTGAGCGGCGGATCAAACTGAACTGAGGCAAGTCGTTAGTGTTATTGTTATGATACGCTAAAACGTCCTTTTATACCTTGAATAAGCGTGTGAGGGACAAAATGATTAAAAAGAGAGACAAAAAATTTTTTTTTCAATAATTTCATCATTTTTTTACCAAAGCTTTTTACATGGGCCCTAGAGTGCATTCTGAACATCCAGGGCTTCGCCATGATTATGGGGTCAGTCTTGTGATAGTTATAATTGTCAAAGTAGTTCATTGTTCCAAACCAGCATAAATTGTAAAAAAAAAATACATATCATAAGCGAAAAAAGAATCTTTTTTATTTTGAGCCTTGCTCAATAATAGCTTTTCGACCTTGAAAATTTTCTTCAAAATTTGGCTGTTAAAACGCCGAAACTGGAAAACAAAACCACTCTAGCACAAATAATCTTTCCCTGTTTTTTGAAATTAAGAACAAAAGTTTGAAGAGTGTGTTAAGTCGTAAATTATGTCATGCTTCAGTCAGTTGAAAAGACTAATCAATTAGGACTTTATTTTACGTCATCTAAACCAGAACCGAACCCAATTTTTGAAAAAAAATTATTTTAGAAAATAAAATGCAAATAATAGAGATTTTGCTTCCGTTTCACTCTTTTTTCGTTGTTTACTGTCCCCAATTGACATAAAATTTCCAAATTAAAACAAAGCTTCAAGAAAAATTAATTGATGGGTTTTGTTGGATTTTGTTAACTCTACTCCCCCATGGATTTCGTCTTCGTTTTCGCGCGTTTGTATTTGCATTACACACACTATATTCAATACCTACATAAAAAATTAAAATTGAATATATTTTTGAAAATTGTTTTAACCTATTGAAAATGTGGCAGCCAAATTTGAATTTCTTAAAATTGAAATAAGAAGTAAATAGTTAACAAGTTCAGTTTTTGTAAGTTATTTGACAAAAAGGAAACAAAAAATGCAATTAGTTTTTACTATTTGCTATTTCCCATGCTCCACCTTCTATTAAAATCGACTACAACAAAACGGGTAAAATAAATTTACTCATATCGGGGCGAAGCATTGAACGTTCGAAGAGAACTTTGACGTCTTTGAAATAACTTACAACAAAGTTTGAGCCTATTTTTAAAAAGACATTTCAGCAGCGACCTTTTTGTGTTGGGATTTTGAAACTTGTCATTTCATCCAACTTTCGAAAATTCATCGCGCATTATACACTGCTGATTTAAATTATCCAGACAAAGCGAATAAAACTTGAAATATATAACGCGTTTTTCTCAATTTGGGTTGACGTTAGACATAAAAATGACCAAGATGCAAGTTGCTTAAAGTCTCAGCAAAATTATTTTGGTGTAACTTAATTTGCTAAAATCGTGCCCAAATTTTCACCCCATAACTGATCATCATTATTTTTAGTCAATCACAAATTACGCTGAA